CCGTTCAAAGTTTTCAAGCGTTGGGCACTGCGTGACCGAACGCCTATCGGGCCATTGCTTAGGCCGATGGGAGCAGCTGAAGTCCCTTATACGGGATACGTGCTGCTGACGATGGCCGAGTATCGGTCCGCCCTCAAAACGAGGTGCATTCGGAGGCCTGGCAAATTCGCCATCACAGTTTTCCCCATGCGACCTGAGCAGGTCTGCAGGGGGGAGATCATGATTGGGATGGAGGGCGCAAAGGTGCCTCTCCTCAAGTTGCCCAGCCCCAATAATGAGGGCGAATTTTATGTTGACGATCGCGTCAAATACATGGACAAGCGCCATGTCGTTGTGGCCGTTGACCTAAAGTGGATGGCCATCGAGGAAGCCGCCGGCATCTATAAAACCCGACGCGGTTTGATTGCCGTGCGGGAAGAGATACATGCACCCTTCTGGCGCGCATGCTATCTGCACCAGGAAGGGGATGTAATATACATCCGTCCCTGGGCGGTTCGTGAGTTGAATGTTCAGGGACCGCCGAGAGGGGTGTCATTTTCATGGGACAATGCTCCCATGCATGACTACTGGTGCCCTCGGTGCGCGCATTTGAACATGTATGGCACCATTCTATGCAATGGTTGCCATCTGCCGATTTTCTATCGTGAATGGGTGCCAGGCACCGTCCGTTCTCTGGTTAAGAATGGGCAGCCAATCTGGCTAGACAGACTCAAAGCAGTCCGTGCCAGTAGCTGGTATGAAGGGGAGACCGACGCGTGGGCTCCTCTCATGGCATCGGTAAACCCGATCCGCGAGGTGGTCAGCTGTATGATCACCGGTTTGCGCTGTGCGCCGCACCTTGTGCACAATCCCAATGCGGATGTTGTGCAAGTTGCGTTTCAGGAGGTTGCAAAGGTCACCTCAAAGGACACTCACGCTTGTGTGCGTGCGAGTGATGAGGCTCTCGAGCGGTGGGTAGCGAAACAGCTGCTCATCGAGGAGAGCAATACTGGCGTCTCGATTCCCGACAATATGTCTGTTTTTACATATTTGATCGAGCACCCGCAACAGGCGGCGCAATGGGGTCGTCATATGACGAGAAAGGGCAGTCTAAATTCAGCATTTGCCCTTTACCTCTCAGTGCATATTTTTGATGCCTACCGCATCGGAATTGAGGACGGATATTTGGTTCCGCTGTATGGCCTAGGCGCCTCACGAGCGGACATCATAATGTCATTGGTACAGGCCGAGCGACGCCTCGCGGACTTCAACAGTGAGGATCCGAGTTTCGCTGCCTCCACTGTTCTTGATTGGAGTATCGACTCTCTGCGGGCCAGTGGTGGATCCATCACGGCCCCAATTGAGTATGCTGAGGCATACATTTATGTCGAAGACAACAAGGTTGACATGGTCCCCGCTGCACGGCGCGACGGCCAATGCGCCATTGTTTTTGCTGACCCGCCGGCTGGGAAACACCACAGGCGGGCAGCCACTCCTAGGGGAGACCAACGGTCTGCTACCCCGCGACCTGAATCCAGGTCAAAGGGAGATCAGCAAAAGGGCAAAGCCCCTGCGCAGCCCTGGCCCAAGGGCGGAGGTCACAAGGGTGACCAGTTCCCGGGAAAGGGTCACAAGGGTGATCAGTACAAAGGCAAGGGTGGCCAATACGGCTACCAACAAGGGCAGTTCGGTCGCGGCGGATCCGCCAGATCGAGAACTCCCACTGGCGGGTATCAGCCTGATGCTCGCGGGTCGGGGTACAAGGGTGCTCAGGCAGCCCCCTTCCCGTTCCCGAGTCCGATGTATCCTGCTTTCCCAATGGGAGGATACATGCAACAGCCCAGGCTGGCATGATGCCACAAATGTGGCCTGGCGCAATGCCGCAGGGTTGGCAGGCGCATATGCAGGGTGATCCCCGCGAGTTCGAAAATCCGAACTCGCCGCACACCCCTACCTGGGGTGACGATGACGAGCTGGCCGAGACAGTGCCTCCCCCCCCTGCAGACTGGAATGTCAGTAAGGGGAAGGGGCGGCACGGCGGTGGAAGACATCGGTGATGCCTGAAGTCTGCCCATGCGTTTTTATTTATTGTTGCACGACTGCGCCAACGCGCGCATGTTTTTATTCCGGAGTTTTCCGGAAGGACTATGCTCCTTGCCATATTTCAATGCTTCGGCTATTCGCCACTCCAGAATTTAATTGCATGCGTGGCTGTGCGCTATTCGCGCAAGCTGCGATGACCCGTCAGGTGTGCGTCGTCACAGCAAGGCAGTTACCCTCGCCGGCGTCTACGGCTGCTGGTGGTCGGCATCATCCAGCACCGCTGCTGCTGCTGGTGATGGAACCCATCAAGGTGCTGTGGTGAGGATCACGGATGCGCCGAACCGCTGCCGGTGAGGTCCTACTCGGACCTGAACCGCTGATTGCAGCTGGTGGTACTCCTGCCGAAGGTCGTTGCGTGATCGCGCGCCTAGACGGTGCTACTTTAAAGACCAAGGTCTTGTGGTCGAAGCACCATGTTTCAACCAATAGGCCAAAGCGCCCAAATCATGAATTCAGAGACTAAATCCACTTGAGCCTTACGGTTCATTGTGGTTGCATTGCAAATGCATTTTTATTTCATGCCTGCCATTCTGGAGTTGAATCTTTGTTTCTGTTTCTGTTGCTTTCTCTTGTTTGATTTGGCTACCGGCGCGAATCCGCCCCATACCCGTAATTCGGGGTGGTGGCGGGATCCGGGCACCAATGAGTGCCCGGGTATGGGGTCGCGAACCCTGGTAGCCTAATCGGCTTTGTTTTTCTTGTTTATTGCAATTCAACTTCTATATGGCCAATGCGCCCTTCCAAATTCACTTCCTCTCTTTGTACAGGCGAGGGGGGTGTTTTTGGGGGCATGTACTTTTATCATAGCATGTTTCATGCCAATGCCCAACGCGGCATTTGGCTCAAGCTATTCGTTCCGGCAATACGCCCTGCTACTTCGTCGCCACGGACAAAACGGCATCGTGCCACGTCTCGCTCTCGGGGAACCGCGCGGGCCGTGTGCTGGTGGTTGGTCCTGTTGGCGGAGGGGGGTCGGGGATTGTAATTGGGAACGGCGCGCAATTGGTTTGCTTTGCTTGCTTCGCTGCTTTGTTTGCCTGCCTGGTTTGCTGCTTTGTGCTTGCTTTCGCTTGTCTCTGCCCTTGCTGGGTTCATTCATCTTTTGGTAAAAGGCACCCTGTTTGGTTCGTTTGTTGTGCCAGCCGGGGGCACCGCTTTGCCCTTGGGACTGGGGGACTTAAACAATCTCTTCTTGTTGGTGGGATTGGGCCTGTTTATTCTCTCCCGAAATACTGTTTCAAACCCTTTCGCATTTGCTGATGGTTTCACAGGGACACTATGATTTCCAGTTTCTATGACACCATCTCCAGTTGAAATTCTCCAGAATATGACACAAACACCAGCTAAACCAGGGGGTTGGGCGATTTCTTCCGGGCGAATGTCCTGGTTTGATTGTGTGAAGAAGACAGTTAAAACAACTCTTTTATCAAATCTTTTTTTTGGGAAGGGGCCCCCTACTAAAAGAGACTACAGAAAAAATCGGGTACCAACTTATTCTAACCTCTCTACTGGAGGACCTACTGTGGATGGACGAAATCCTGCACCACTTTGAAACCACGGGGAACCATTGTTTGCTTGGACCTTGGACCCATCGAACGCCTGCCATAGCACTGGTTGTTAAAGCACCTAGAGCCTATACATGCTTTCGGGAACCCATTATTGGGACCTTCACGAATGAGAACCGAAAACGGAAATCCAATCAACAAGGTCGGGTTACAAGTGAGTGTGTAGTTGGCGCAACCCAAGCCCTGAAAAACCCCTAAGAACCCGGAATCTCTGTTGCCAAAGGATTGACATCCCTGTGACGAGTTTTTCTCATTTCAAGGATTCCCACAGAAAGTGGGTGGATGGCTGTGAAGTCCGTTTCGCAACAAAATGAAGTCATGGTTGAAGCCAGAACTTAGGTTGGTATTTACGTTTTGGAGTCGAATCATTCCATGGTTTCTGAACGGTGGTGCAGGATTTTGGCCATCCGCAGAATGAGTGTGTCTTTTTTGAGGGACCCATTTTTGGGATTTAACGATGCTCCGTTTGGTTTCCCTGAAATCCGAGAACCATGGGTGCCCTCAATCAAAGACAGTATGGTTTCCCAAAAACCAAGGGTGTTGAGTGTGTTGCTGGTGCTGTATACTCTCTTGTGTTTTGGGGAACTGGTTGGGTAGTGAGCACCATCTTTGACAGCGGTCTTGACTTGCTGGTTCTCCGTGGGGACTGAAGGGTGTGGAGCATGAGGCTGCGTCTTCGATTCGCCAAGTTAACTTCCATTTGCTTAAGAATTGTTTTTCCCTTGTTGGCTTTAGAAGGAATTGATCACTACTGGACATATTTTTTTTTTCCAGGGGTCTTAACCAAATAGAAGCTTAGCTTGGCGAATCGAAGATCCAAGAAATCCCCCCCCCAAAAAAAACTGCGAGGGATGGTTGGGCATCATTCCCTGTGAGAACCCGCAAGTAGAACCCGGCCCTTGTCTAGCCAAAATCAGCTTGGTGGCTGATTTTAGCCTCAGCCTTTGGGAAACTAGAAAACGGTTTGGAGGCGACGAATCTGTGGATCCACCCCTGTAGAATATTTAAAGAGTACCAAAAGAGTACTAAAAAAGCACGAACAGGGGGAAGAACAGGTGATATCCACAAAAAGCGCATCCAAACCGTTTTCCAGAAACTTGGGCTTTTGGCACATGGGTTCCTTCACCTCACTCACCTCGCTCCACTCCACTCACCCCCCTCCACTCACCTCCACTCACCTCCACTCACTCACATCACTCACCTCACTGCTCTCATCTCTACTGACTCCACTCACTCCACTCACCTCACTCACCTCACTCCACTCACCTCACTCCACTCACCTCACTCCACTCACCTCACTCCACTCACCTCACTCCACTCACCTTACTCCACTCCACTCCGCTCCACTCTGAGGAAGATGCGGCTGGCGCTGGACGACCGGGACTCCTACCGCGTCTTCGCCATGGAACCCAGCTGCAACGAGGGCCTCTGGTCCCACGTGACCCACAGGACCGCCGACCGCATGCGCGCATGACCCGTGCAGTTCCCAGCCGTTCCCTGGATGTTTATGCTCAGAGTTTTGTTTTGTGTTGGAATTTGTTACTTTTTCGGCCCCACAAACAATTGCTGTCAAGAGCGGGTATGTCTGTTTTTTCAGGGAACCGTTTTTTTTTGAATCGTTAGGGAAGGGAACGCTACCCTCCCATCCATAGACACGGAACCTGACGTTTCGGGGTGCTGGAAGACCATTTTCCTTTGAAAGGGACCCATTTTTTTGGTTCCATGTTGCTCGCAGTGGAGAGGAGGGTACCCATTTTGTGTCCGCATGTTTTTTTCAGGCGGGGTCTGAGACACAACCATTGAGTCAAGTGACATGATTCTCGTCTCCTGTTGGGAGGACGGGAAGTTGGGAAGAACCCAAATCCCCCACCAAAAACGCGGAGGATCCAGTTGTCCGATGTCTTTCTTGTTGGAAATAGGTATGTACTTTGTCCATTGCTTATACTTATATGATCACTTGTCCCTCAGCAAAATGTCAGTAGCAAGTAGGGGTGAAGTAGAAAACTCAATGTCACTGGGGAACACCAGTGAATATTGACTCTGGTTCATGCGCTCATTAACTAACATTTTGGACATGCTGTTGGGGCCTGTTCAAAGGAGCAAAGCTTTTGGATCACTGGAGGGCAAGAGCGACCTTGCCCCGACGCTTGCATGTCAAATCTTGGGTGGCTTTCCCAGCCATCCGGTCCCTTAACCTGTTAGCTTTTTAGCGTTTAGTGGCAGTTTCCCTTTAATCCACTAAAAGTTAGTCACTTTTTCTGGGGGGATCGGAAAACGGGCAGCGCAGAAATGTGTGGCCACGCGAGGACGTGGGTGATCCATCACGTGTCGCCAGAGCAAATCCTGTGCATGTGGAAAGCTGACGCGGCCGCGGGCATCTATGAAAAAGATGACGCAGGTGGGGTGTACTGCGTACTGAGATGTTTGGGTAGCATGGGGAAACTGGGGTGGTACGTAGTAGTCGTAGTCGCAGTAGTAGTAGTAGTAGTAGTAGTAGTAGTAGTAGTAGTAGTAGTAGTAGCAGTACAGCAGCAGCAGTAGCAGCAGCAGCAGCAGCAGCAGCAGCAGCAGCAGCAGCAGCAGCAGTAGTAGTAGTAGTAGTAGATTCCCTTTAAAACCAACACGGGAAGAACACACAACAACTTTTCCAAACTGTATTTGAGTTTTTCCAAGGACAGCGCCCCTTACTTGGATGTTGAAAGGGAAGACGAATGCCAGGCAACCTGACCATTGCTACATGTCCAGTGGCTTCTGGCGAATATACGAGAAATCAGAGCACAATATCGACGGAGATACGACTAGAAAACGGTTGGATGCGCATTTTTGCAAATTTCACCTGTTCTTCCCCCTGTTGGTCCTTTTCTAGTGTTCTGTTCATACTCTTTTAATCATCCTACAGGGGTGGATCCACAAAAGCCACATCAAAGCAATGGGGCAGCTCGCCAAGAAGGGATGGCAAACCCATGTTTTCCCCCCGTTTTTGTGCAGTGACTTCCCCACTTCAAGAAGGAATCCCCAAGTATCTGGACCCTCAAACTACTTGTCGAAACTAAGTCTCCCAGGATCGTGCCCTTTCACCATTTTTTTTGTGGGGGAGGGTTCTCCAACTCATTCTAACTCCTCTCAAATCTGGAGGACCTAGGAAGTACCCCAATCACCGACCAGATGCGAAACGCGCCGGGTGGCTTCCAAGCTGAAGTTAAGGAGCTGTGGGATCACTCGGAGTTCCTTTTGGGGGTGTTCCTTTTGGTGGGTGGGTGTTTCTTTTGGTGTGGGATTCTAAATTCTGTGGGTGTTCCTTTTGGTGTGTGGGATCACTCGGGGTTTAGCCAAGCACTTCTGGGAAGCTCGGGCCCCTAAAATTTAAAATGGCAGGTAAGTCTTTGGGACGCCCTCTTTGTTGTATCACAGAATTGGATTCCGTTTCAAGCACAACCATAGGTGTCCTTTTTGGTGGTTTTGGCAGAAAACTCGATGGCAATTCCTGGTTTACCTGGTTTCATCATCTATCAGGGAAACCCATCTATTTCCAACCCAAAAGCACACCTATGACGTCACAACCCTTTTCAAAGACCCACAGACCTCGAGAGACCTCAGGCGCCTGGCTCCCCTCCGCCGCGGCTTTGGACGCCGCCTCCTTTGCCGCGGACTTCGCCACGCGTCCGGAGCCAGATCTCGAGAGGCGGGATGGATGCTCGAAGGAACCCCGAGAGTCTCCTTCTGACCCGTTGACAATCGGTCCATGACCAACCACTCTTTTGTGTAATGAGGGTCAACATTTAGAGGGTTCCTTGAATTTTCTTTGGGGAAGACTACCTGGAGTCTTCTTCTGACCCTTGAAAATACGTGGACCCCCCAAGGACCGATTCCTTATTTCTGCCTTTGTACCCCTTTTTTTAGGGGTCATTTCGGCAGAAATAAGGAATCGGTCCTTTGGGGGTCCAGGTAGGTCCATGACCAACCATGATTTAGAGAATGACCCCATTTTAAAGTCATGGAGACTCTAGGCCGATCCTTTTGGTGGGTGAAACCGTTTTGACGATTACAGGGGCCGATTGTTTTGGGCTGGCTCCCTGAGTGGGCTGGACTTGAGGTCACTTTTTTGGGTTTGGACCATTTTTTGTGGTAAGCGACGAGTTCCAGGACTTTTTCTGGCCAATCCACTCAGGGAATGATGCGTGTGTGTTTTTTTAAGGAAATTGTAAAGTGACACCAAAAGGAAACCCACCATTTTGGGGGGTCCGCTTAACAAAGACACACCCACACACCCTTTTAGAGGGGGCCCTGGAAACAGTCAAGTGGGTCGATGGAAAGAACCCCCTCCACTCCTTTCCAAACCAATTTTGAGTCGCGACCTTCGGTGGTCCCTTTTTGCCATAGCAGGTGTCACTTGAAAATTCAAACGGCCAAAGAAAAGAGTGCCGATTCTTGTTTCCCATCGACACCACTAGATTTGGGCCATGCAAAGGGCTAAAGAATTACTTGGATGATTGATTCGCCAAGTTGGTAAGCTGTTAGCCTGGGTTATAACCCGCTCTTTTCAGTCCCGTAAGAGTTAACTCGTCACCAGTGGCTTATAACCCAGGGGTCGTTCCCACTACTCACTTGGCGAATTGACCCAAGTAGCTTCCAAGAATCATGAAAAGTATCCCAGAACCCCCGTTTTTTCAGAGCGGGGCACAACAAAGGGGTCAGTTTGCACCCGTCAAAGACGACCACTTCGACTCCCGAGATATTGCGAGTAAGCGAACCGATTTTTCAATTACGGCAGTTGGTGCCTGTTTCCTCTGCCAGCTTTGCACATACGCTTCGAGCACGGGTTGTTTGATCCTTGGGCGGCGTTCAAGATAAACGTTTGCGCCCCAACTTTTCTGTGCGACTTTTTTTCCCTGGAGCTGGTTGAGCTTTTCACCGTAGAGTGGCAGATTCACGCAGATTCACGTTGATTTGCCGCAATTTGCACCGCGTTTTTTTGTGGTTGAATGCCCTAACTTACCGTAAATTACCATGGGTTTGTTGTGGAATGCTCTGAACTTTACCATGGATTGGTTGATTCTGGTTGGTTTACTTGCCACATTCGGGGCATCCCACCGTTTGTGTCAAAAACGCAACACCAGAAAACCAAACACCCACCCAACACCCAAGAACATTGAGCTATAAGTGTCTAACTCTTTCAATACTAAAGCTTTTCATGCAACAACCCAAACATGCAACCAAGATAGAAACACGGGGCGGTTCCAGAAATCAGAAGTTCCCTCCCAAGAAAACGGGATTGCGTCGGAATATATCGGGGGTTGACCCCCCAAGCTTCCATTTGCTCAAGAATATTGGTTCCATTTTCCCTTGTTGGTTTTAAGAGGAATTTATCACTACCATAAATATGTTTATCTTTATTTTCAGGGGGCAAAGACGCCAATGGAAGAAAGACGCCAATGGAAGAAAGGGGTGCATGGCTTCCTCGAGAAAAACGCCCACCGCGTCCCGCGGGGATCGACGCCCAGACAGCGGCGGCCAGCCGCGGAGCTCTGCGCGTGCCTGGCCGTGGGGCCCTTGGCCGAAGAGCTGGCGAGGCGCAGCGACAAGATCAACGCCTCCAGGCGGATTCGGGGGGGGGAGGGGGGTGGGTGGACCCCGAGCTAGGGAGGTGTGGCATCAACAGGGGCAGCCCCCAAACAAGAAAGGTGGTTTGTTGGTTGTTGGCTTCCAGGCGGAGTTGGCTGGGAGCGGTTCCTTGGGCGCGCGCGTGTCGAAGGTAGACCCCTTCAGGTAGGTGTGGCATGGGAGCCTTGGGCGTGCCAGAGGTAGGTGGGTGCCCGAGCCCTGGTAGGTGTAGCATCAACAGTGGGGGGAGCCCCCAAAAAGTGGTTTGGTTGTTTTGTTGGTTGTTGGCTTCCAGGCGGATTTGGGAATTTGGAGCCTTGGGCGTGTTGGGAATAGGTGGACTTTCGGCAACCTGGCCCGGCTAGGTGTGGCATCAAGACAGAAAGACCCCTAAAAAAGGTGGTTTCCCTATGAGGAGCGGTGCCTTGTGCGTGCCAGAATTGTGGTGGGTTTGTGGACTCCGAGCCCTGGAGGTATGGCATGAACGGTGGGGGAGCCCCAAAAAAGAAAGGTGGCTTGTTGGTTGTTGGCTTCCAGGCAAAGTTGGATTGGGAGCGGTGCCTTGGGCGCGCGGGGGGGGGGGCGGGGGGCAGGTAGGTGGACCATTGGTAATCATCAGTAGGGTAACCAGGGGAAGCATCATGAAAATATAGGGGTAGCTGGTACTGGGGTGGCTTTTAGTGCGCTACCCGGCGCAAAACCTCAGACGCGTGGGTGGGCCTCTTTGAAAACAACGACCAGCAAAGAAGGCGGGTCCATGGGGCTGGTGGAAGAACAAACAAAGGAACCAAGGGAGCTATTGGACAACTGGGTGTGAGTTTTTTTTGTTCTTTTTAATGGGGGGACGACATCATTTGCGGGATTCAAATCCGACAATCATCCGATTCCCCAATCGAACTCTGTTGGCAAATCTCAAGCCCCACTTTTTGACAGGACCTTTTTGGTGGTACACATGAGGCTTGGATGTTGTTTTGTTTGTTTCAAGGGAAACCACTTCCAAAACTTCCCCTGAATCATGTTGAGAGATACCCGCGCGGGTCATGTGCCGGCCCAAAAATTCAAAAGCAGCCGCACAAATCCAAGGCTGCAAACATCGACTGGATGTTCCACCAGCGGGTCATGACCATAGGTGTCCTTTTTGATCGTTTTGCTCCGAAAATAGAAGGCCCTGGTTTACCTGGTGGTTCAATCATCTACCAGGGCCAAAAAGGACATCAACGAGTCATGACCCTGTTTTGTTGGGTTGGGCCAACCAACCAGTCGCCCTAGCAGTGGTTCTTACTCGCTACTTACACGTTGGTAAGGAACATCCAAGTTCTAGAGTGTTCACCAGAAAAGTCCCAGGGCAACTGGTTCTTTAATTCACTGAACCCTGTAAACCCCGAGCCATGCAATCCGCGTCAGCCAACGAGCAATCCTCAATCCGTAAAGCGTCAAACAAGGTTCTAGTTTGTGGAGAAACAATCATTCCAAGTACAGTTGGGTGAAACTAGATGGCGCAATCTCCCCCCCTATTTTGGTTTAGTCTTCCCCTTTACTTACCTTTCACCTGTGCCACCTACTTTACGCTGGTGTATCTTCAACAGCTACATATTGTTGACAAGGGGATCGTAAACCTCCAGAAGATGGTGATGAATTCAAAACCACCCAAAACCTCGAGAATTGAACTCAATGGTTCATTTAACACCAAAACTGGCTCTTCAACTCAACTATTGCTTCCCTGCCATGGGCGTCTCTCAGAATGCGCCAACAGATTCTTCTTCAAGGGGCATTGTACTTAGCAAGCGGGGAATAACCATGGTAACCCAAAAGACTCATGGGTATACAGGGCTCCTTAAAAGACACATTTTGCCCATTTGAAACATGGCTTTTCCCTCAAAACAAAGGGAAACCACCATTTACAAGGCAATGTTCAGGTGTATAATGTAAGGATCCCTGTTATAAGTCTAAGTTGGTTATAACCAGGCTTACAAACCACTAAGTGCCCGATCGCCCCTTTAAGTGTCCGGCGCTCGATGCTGCGCAGGACCTTCATGATGTGGGGACATCCGAGTCTGTTGGACGACGAAGACTAGCGCATCCACATCTCGTCTCGGTGAAGGACCTGATTTTGAGAATCCGCCAAGAATCCGCCAAGAATCCGCCTATGGTCCCCGGCCTTTGCCCGTGAGGTCGCGAAAGATGCTTTGACTCCTGTGGAGCTCAAGGAGTCGTGGTCGCGTGAGGCCTTCTCACCCGGAGGACACTGCCATCCTTCGGGATCTGATGAAGTCGGACTCAGGGCTTGGGGCTGCGACTTTTGGCCAACCGGGACCCGGGACAAGAACTCGCAGAAGGCCTACGCCTTCGTGAGCTTTGTGCCCCGCGGATGGCCGGAGGGAGGCGGTGCCACAAGAACTCAGAGAGGGCTTGGAGCTGATCCGGATGCGGGGCAAGGAGCAGGAGCTTTTCAGAGACCGGGCGGTCATCGGCAGAAAGCGCGTGCAAAAGTGGCCGGATTCTGTGGCGTGTGGCGTGTGGAGTCATGAAATGTCACTGGGATGTTGTGCCAAGCTGGTAAGTGGTCAGCCAATGGTTCGCCACCTGGGTTGTAATTAATCCACTCGTAGCGTTTGTTAGCTGTTCACTCCACTTAGGGGGCTTATAACCGGTTTATGACTTGGGTTAGTACAACTTACCGACTTGGCCGAACTCCCAACTAGGTTCCCCGGTAGTGCCCTTTCTCAGCCCTTTTTTGGTTGGGAGGGTTCTCCTACTAAAATAGACTACAGAAAAAAGTTGGTCCCTTATTCTAGCCTCTCTACTGGAGGACCTAGCCAAGTAAGGGACCAGGGAACCCCATGGACAACGTTGGTAAGGCTTCCTCTTTTCACCTGCTTTGATTCCTTTCACCGAGAGGCCCTGAGAATTTTTGCTCGGCGCGAGCCGTTGGCGGGTCCCTTAAGAGTCGGTGCGGACAGCGCGCAAGTTGATGGCGACCATTCTCAGCAGTTTTGCTTGGCGATCAAATGGCCATGGTTCAAAACCAATGGGATCCCATTTTGGGGTTTTGGGTGCACCGCCCATTTTAGGACCTATTTTAGTGGTTGGATTGGGATGTTCACGGGGGGTACGGGGTTTTAAGCCTTGGCCAAATGGTAACCCCAAATAGCCCAAAAAGCAGATCGGGCTGAGCAACACGTTTGACAGCCCCCAAGGGGTGTCCTGCAATTCATACTTTGCGGGCGATTCAAAATGGAAGGTTGCGACACCAACCCGATTTTTCCACAAAACAGCGAGTGCGATTTCGCATTGTGGCCGAGTCCTTTCGCAAGTCAAGGGAAACTTGGGGCTTGCAACTGGCTCAGCAAATTCCCAGCTGCCCGGAACATGTTTTTTGGTGCGCAGACTTTGGGAAGACGGCTTTCGCCGGGAAAGGCGGGGGAGTCTGGGCGCAAACCCTTGGTGTCGAGGTACGTGGCTTTCTAGCCTGACTGTGGGAGATCCGGCTTCCAAAAGCCCCTCAAGGAAACGGGTGGTTGAAAACCATCAAAGATGTAGGGTTTAGGATCGGGGAAACTGCCCACTGTGACAGATTGGCACCTTTCCAATGACTGAGTCTTCAAGGAATTCTTGTTTCTTTTTTGTTTTGGGGGGGGGGGAGGGGGGGTAGGCGGTGGGGGGGGTAGGGGTTGCCTTTTTGCTCCGCGTGTTCTTCTTCTTTTTTTTGTGGGGGGTGGGGGTTGCCTTTTTGTCTCTTTCTGAAAGGCCTAACATATATTCAGCAGGGGGCCAGGGGGCTTGAATCATTGAAGTCCCCGACATCTCCCTGCCTGGAAGGCGACTTGGAGATCCGTTGCCGGGTTAGTATCTTGGCGGCTCCCGAAGGCCATCCGCTTTCTTAGCTTTTGAGCCTGTTTAATTAGTGTTGAGTGGGGATTTCCGAATTTAAGAAACTAAAGGTTATATAGTAACTTTTCGCGGGGGATCTGAGGACAGACCAGGTAAGTGGTTGGATTTCCACTGTGTTCAAGGTTCACTTCGGGGGACGTTGCGGGTTAGAACCTAGGTTACCAACCACTTACCAACTTGGCGAATCTAACACCCAAGTAGAGGGGCCCAGATCGACGCGATTCAATCACGCGCCTCGACCTGCAGCTGTTCTTCTTCCAAGAGCGATCGAATGACGCAGCAGGAAACCCGTCACCCAAGCACCTGCGTTCTGTCTGGTACGTCTCGATGGTCTTTTGAAAGCTTTCCATTCGGCCGAATGTCCAAGCCCACAACGGGAGCCCGACTCTCTCAAACTTCAGAGCGAGCACCTACGAACTTGGAGCATACCCATCTCACCCCAAACAAGTCGGACCCCTTTCTCATTGTTGTTTCCATCTCTCCCATATTCTCCAAAACCGGACACCCCCCCTCCCCCAAAACGAACCGCTTGAATCCACCGGCCGTGCCCCAAAAACAACTAAAAAACGCCTCCCGCACTACGTGGCACTCTTTTCAAGGCGCACAAGCACTCTCTCCAGGCTTCTTGGAAAAGCCTACTGGGGTTTACGTCCTCCCAAAAAAGCGAAAAGAACGCCTCACGCGTCGAACAAACGCCTCCATGAGCGCGGCCCGGCACGCGGCCACCGTGGGCGCCCTGCGCTCGCCGGGCCGAAGCCCGGCCAACGCCTCCGCGGCGTCGCGGAGCGGCAGCGAGCGGCTCACCTCGGTGCCGCGGGCCAACACCCTGGAGACGCTGACCAACGCGGCTCGGGATGGTTCAGGAGTTTGTTTGTTTGTTTGTTGGTGTCTTTGTGTCTTTGTGTCTTTGTGTCTTTGTGTCTTTGTGTCTTTGTGTCAGTGTCCGTGTTCGTGGTTCGTGTTCGTGTTCGTGTGTGTGTGCGTTTGTGCGTTTGTGCGTTTGTGTGTTTGTGCGTTTGTGCGTTTGTGTGTTTGTGCGTTTGTGCGTTTGTGTGTTTGTGCGTTTGTGCGTTTGTGTGTTTGTGGGTTTGTGCGTTTGTGTGTTTGTGCGTTTGTGTGTTTGTGTGTTTGTGTGTTTGTGTGTTTGTGTGTGATTGTGTGATTGTGTGATTGTGTGATTGTGTGTTTGATTGTGTTTGTGTGTGATTGCGTGTGTGTGTGTGTGGTGTGTGTGTGTGTGTTGGTGTGATTGTGTGTTTGTGTGTTTGCGTGTTTGTTTGTTTGCCTGAATGTTTGTTTGTTTTGTTTGTTTGTTTGTTTGTTTGTTTGTTTGTTTGTTTGTTCGTTCGTTCGTTCGTTTGATTGTTTGTTTGTTTGTTTGTTCGTTTGTTCGTTTGATTGATTGTTTGTTTGTTTGTTTGTTTGTTTGTTTGTTTGTTTGTTCGTTTGTTTGTTTGTTTGTTTGTTTGTTTGTGTGTTTGTTTGTTTGTTTGCTTCTTTGTTTGCTTGTTTGTGTGTTTGTCTGTTTGTTTGTTTGTTTGCTTGTTTGCTTGTTTGCTTGTTTGTTTGTGGCGTCTTTCTTTCTTTCTTTCTTTCTTTCTTTCTTTCTTTCTTTCTTTCTTTCTTTCTTTCTTTCTTTCTTTCTTTCTTTCTTTCTTTCTTTCTTTCTTTCCTTCTTTCCTTCTTTCCTTCCTTCCTTCCTTCCTTGCTTGCTTGCTTGCTTGCTTCCTTCCTTCCTTCCTTCCTTCCTTCCTTCCTTCCTTCCTTCCTTCCGTTTTGTTGAGACCATTTTGTTCAGTTGGTTTTTACAGGGAAACAGTAAACAATGGTTTGGGTTTGGGGTTGACTTCTGGGCTGGTTCTCGAGGAAACGGTCTTGGGAATGAATGGATCATGCCCCGTTCTGCCACCTGTGGCCTGTGTGGTCTAGGCCCCCCCTTCCGTACCCGAGAGCGTGCCCCGAAAAGGCTCGAAATGGACATGCGTTGGTTCTAAGGTTTGATTCCCCATTCTCTTCAGCCATCGTTCTCTTTAGAAGCCACCTTTTGTTCCCAGGTGTTTGGCCCATGTTTTGAAGAGAAGGATCCCTGGAGAGAATGGGGAGAGTACCACTAGATTTGTGTCTTGGTGAACCGGTGGCGGTTTTGATTTCCCTAACCAACCTTTCAGGAGGAAAAGGCGAGTACAACCAAGCAATCTCTTTGGACCTCGTAAGGAGCGACTCGTTTCTCTTTTTCTTTTTCTGCCTTACCTTGTTTATGGGTCGTTATGGCAGACAAAAAGGAATCAGTCCAATCGGGGGGTCTAGGAGGACAAGGCCCCTTTTGGTGTACCTCTAGAAAGGGAAAGCAGCAGAGTACAACCAATTGCACAAGGGTTAAAGGTGCCCCCGTCGACTCCAAATATATCATCTCAACCTTCTTGGTATTTTCCAAAAATCTCCCCTGCCAACCAAAAGAGAGAGTATTTCGAGAAGGTGGGTTGCCATTTAGGAGGTGGAAGGAGGTGGAAGGAGGTGGACGGAGGTGGACGGAGGTGGAAGGAGGTGGAAGGAGGTGGAAGGAGGTGGAAGGCGGTGGAAGGAGGTGGAAGGGCGGTCCCAGGTACCCTCAAGCGACACGCCCTTAACGCCGGCTCCGCACAAAAACGATGCACCTTCGCCTTTTGAAGGTCTTCGCCGGCTATGGCGCAGACCAGGACGGGAGCGGGTCTTTGGTGTATTTTCATCTTTAAAGGTTGGGATTCACAGGAGGTGACTAGTTGAAAAAATCGATGGCCCTGGAACTGTTCAACCCACCTCCAGACGGAACCCATCTATCAAGCAGACGCATAGGACCCTCCCAATATGGTGGTGGGGACCATGAGAAAATTCGCGGGGGTCGCTTTTCTTTGAGGGATCCCCGCCCTAAGAAAGAAGAATGGTTTTGGTTTCCCTTTCAAGAAAAAAACCTGTACAAACTAGGGAGTTTGGGAGATCCCTGCAAACATTTGGGTTTCATAAAATAGCGGGGGACCCAGAAAATGGGTGGTTTCCGCTTGGTTCCCGTTCAATCCTACCAAAAAGGTTGGTGCCCTCAAAAACAGATACACAAATGTTGCCTTTTTCCTCATGGCCGCTGGAGGTCTAGGTTCATCCATATGGGGTTCTCAAAATGGTGGACACCTTGTGGGCGGCAAAGATGAATCAACCCATTTGTTGGGTTAACTTGGTGGTTTCCATCCGTCCCGCTTCCTTAGGCTTTCAGGTTTGGTCTCTTGTGGGGGTGTTCGCTGCGTCACATCGGTGCACCTCCAAATAGGGGAACCCGTCAATGGGTGTTTTTCCATGGGCTGTCCTTTGACAACAAGCCCCAAGTGGGCCACAATCAAAACCCGGGTACATGAAGGTGAGTAAGGGGCCTTCTCAATTCTTTACATGGTTCTCGGTAGACCATTTTAATACCGGGTTTTGATTGCGACTCAAATTTGGGCACTTGGGTGTGGCTGGTGTTCTTTCTTCGGGTCTTTTGCCCCGGTCCCTGGTTTGATTCTCGGGTTCTCTGGTTCTCCCGTGCCACTTCTCCTGGGTCTTTGGGTCCCGCCCCTTCAAGTCGCCGGTCGGTTGTCAGTACCGAAAGTTATCTTTTCGGGGGAGGGTTCCCCTACTAAAATAGACTACAGAAAAAGTCGGCACCAAACCCAGAATGGGACCTTGGGAGGAATAACGTGGGAGTTGCTTCGAGGAATCGCCCACGAATTCTTTGCGACCTTAACTTGGTGGTTCCCGGCCATCCGGTTCCTTAGCTTTTTAGCTCTTTAGTGTTTAGTGGGGACTACCATTCAACCCACTAAAAGTTAGTGACTTTTTCTGGGGGATCTGAAAACGGACAGCCCAATTATAATTCGCGTCAAGAAGTCCCCCCTTGGGCGCATCGAACATCCGAGCAGGCCGTTTTTTCCCCCCCCCCCCTTTTTCTTTTTTTCTTGCCTAAGCGGATCTCTCGGTTCTCTCCAGCGAGCTATGTAAACGCGGTTTGCAAGCACGCACCAGTTTTGGCCAACTCAGTTTGCGGGGTGAATTTGACATCGAAAACCGCAGCCACTGATTCCATTTACATCTTCAGGCAACCAAGGAAACCACCTCCCGCTTGCCCAGCGGCGCCCTTTTTCCCTTTATTTTTTTCTTTTTTCAACCAACCCAAAAAGGATGGACGCCAGGAAAGATCAAACAGGCCTCGATCTGTTCACGCCCATCTTGGAGGGTCTTTCAAAATCGGGGGACCCCAAAAAGGGAGTTCGGTTTTCGGTTGAAGGTCCCCCAACAACAAAAGAGGTGCCCTCAAAAGAACATGTAGCTGGAAAGGTCACAAATCCCCAAAAGTGGCGGGTCACACATCCCCAGCGAATTGAATGATGCCCACCATGTCGGGCGTTGTCCAATATGGAATCCCCCTCTCTTCCCCCAAACAAATCGACACCGACACGTTTTGAGAGACCTGTTCGCATGATTTCCCTCCATTTGCTTAAGAATATTCTGTTTTATTTTCCCTTGTTGGTTTTAAAAGGAATTCATCACTACCGGAAATATGTTTTATTTTTTCCCGGGGCCTCAACCAAATGGAAGTTTCCCCTCTTAAACAGGGCAGGGTAGGTAGTGAGTGGTTCGTAAGCCTGGTTATAGCCCACTGAAAGGAATTGTAACCATGGTTGATACGTGGGATATCTCACTTTGGTTATTGCAATCACTTACCTGACGTACCGAACTGATCGCCCCTGTAAAAGCTGAACCCCCCTTTAAACCCTTAAACTCCCTGAAGCCAACCAACCCCCCCCCCCCCCCAAAAGCCCCAAAAAAACCACCCGAAAAACCCCTGAACCCCTCACACTCCCTAACAGCCTTAGCCTTAACCACCGTTTCCCCCTTAACCTCCCCTTTTACCCGACTCTTTTCCCCTTAAGCCCCCCGTTTGACACACCGAAAGCGTCGGGTCAGGTGCTGGGCTCCTGGCGGCAACAGGTGCCCATGGAGTCCGAGCCGCATGGCCGAGGAAAGCTTTTCGTCGCCGAGAGTCTTTTTCGCCTTTGCCGTGTTTAACCTGGGACTCGGATGAGTTTATTCCTTGACCATTGAGTGGCATTTCTTCCAGCTCCCGGCCATGTTATTTTTTTTTTGGGGGGGGGAATCGGTCGGTTTTCCTCCCCAAGGGATTAAACAAGATGAAGTGAGCCTGTTTTTGAGGGTACCCACCTTTTTGCCAGGTTAGGGAAAACCATGTTGGAAAACCACACATCTTCTGGGTGACCCTATTTTAGGAAGCTCAAAGTGTTTGGAGGAAACCAAAACTGGGCTGTCCTCAGATTTGCGAACAGTTTTCCTCGTGGGTGAAAGGGCCGCCCATCTAAACCTAAGCAACCAAAAGGAGAACTAAACCCCCAAGTCCCCAACCCTAAACCCTAAACCCTAAACTGTTGGACTTAGGGTTTGGGAGTTGGGCTTTTGGGCTTAGGGTTTGTTTTTTTCTAGGAGTTGATTGCCCATTCTTTTCAAGCCATATTCTTTTCAATAACCGGCTGTTGCCCGGCCCTGGGTTTGTGATGGTTTCCGGAAAGGATTCGGATCCCTGGAAAGAATGGGGGAAGGTAATATTGACCCCAGATGAAGAACCCCCTGTTTATCAATATGGGGGTGCTTTTCCCCGGTTTTAGTGGGGATTTATGCCCGGTTTTAGTGGGGATTAATATGGGGGTGTACCCTACCCCTAGAGTGTCAGGGATGGGGTTTGGGCTTCGAACGCAAGCCTTAGGGACTCGGTCGAAGCCTTTCGATGTCGCGCTGAGGCAGCGCCTCGCTGTGCTGCTGAAGACGGAGCGAAGCGGCTTCGACAGCGGTGCTCGCGAGGAACAAGCCGTGCGGGAGGGAGTCGGGGAAGGGGGTTCTTCCATTTTTTTTGTTTAAATCCATTTAAACAATGAAATACAAACCATTGTTGGTCGTAAAAGGAATTTCTCACTACTGGAAACATTGTGATTTTTGTCCAGGGATCTTAACCAAATGGAAGGTTTTTATTGGCGTATGGAGTGCTTCTCCTTCCTTGGCGGCAATCAGAACCTATGTTTTTTACTCTTACCTTCCCGAGTTGGTTTTAAAGGGAATCGATTTCACCACTGGAAGTATGTGTCTTGTTTCATGGGAGTTAAAGAACATGTTTCTCGGTTTTTCTGGGATCTCTGTCGATCAGGAAACCGGTAGTTGGTGGTTTTGATTTGGAGTGGAAGCCCTGGTTCTTGTTGGAGATACATGGGAGACCATCCCTGACCACCGAACCACCAAGCCCAACCGCAAACTACGAAGAAGCTTTAACATGTTTCAAAGCTCACCAAAAAAGCAGGACCAGAGTGCGGCATTTGGCTTGTGGCAAAAGCTGAGGTAGTTTTGAGAGCTGGAGTTCTTGAGGGGTTGGGGTCAAGGGAACTAGAGAGGCACCACTTGGATGTCCAACCAGCTTAGTAGACTAAGGTCACTGGGGCTATTCCCCTGGTGGTTTGGATTGGTGGTTTGGTGGAATGGTTTCCCATTTAATTACCCTCTACAACTAGGGGTTCAATTCCAAGTCCAAATCACAAATCCAAACCAAACCACCCCCATGTTTGGGGTGTTAAGAAAGCAATCGGAAAAAACGACAATTTGTTGGAGTTCAACCGTTAAAAAAGACACCCCAGAAGGAACACGGCCCCATGTTTGGGGTGTTAAGAACGGGATTTTTTGGGCAGCCGCCGAAGAAATCTTGGAGGCTACAGGCTCTTTGGGCCGAGGGGTGGCCCATTTTGGGCTTCGCCACTGGAAAGCATTGGTCTGGAAGCTCGAAAGCAGAAACCGAAGACAAACCATGGCTCAAACACGTCGTCTCAACCCAAAAGATTTCTGGGGCTCCGTGTTCTTTTTATTGTTTTGCCGCCCCCCCCCCCCACCCCAAAACCCTCTTCGTGTGCCGATTTGTGTTGGTGGTCTCTTTGTTTGCTCGTTGGTTAAATATAAGCACCAGTGTTGACCATTCAGAATTGTCATCATCCAAATAGGGTGCCGCTGCTTAAAGGGGCAGGGTACTTAGTAAGTTAGCAACAGGGTCATCACCATGGTTACCCACAAAAGCCATGGTTATACGTCTTCTTTTTGTATAATTAACCAGGTTTGTTCTCACCGCTTCAACCCATCGCCCCTTTGACTTGGTGGCTCCCAGCCATTCGGTTCCTTAGCTTTTTAGTTTTTTAGTGTTTAGTGGTAGTTTCCGTTCTTTACATCCACAAGTTAGTCACCCATCGCCTCTTTGACTTGGTGGCTCCCAGCCATTCGGTTCCTTAGCTTTTTAGTTTTTTAGTGTTTAGTGGTAGTTTCGGTTCTTTACACCCACAAGTTAGTCACTTCTAGCGGGGGATCGGAAAACCGGCAGCCCAGTTTGGTTAGAAATGATGGGGTCCACTAGTTTAGGTTCGTTTTATGCCATTCATTTCCCAAGGAAACCCCATCCATTTTCCAAGGCCGACATGCTCATTTTCTTTGACACACACGCACACATTTTCAGTGATGGCAACTCAAAATTTTGATCACCTTCTAAGCTGGTCCTTCGGGTTGCTTCCGATTTCTAATTCGGGGCGAGTTGGGAGGAGAGCGACGACAGCAGCAGCGACTCCTCGGATTCGCTATGGAACCGCGGGGGGCTGCGGTACTGGGCCCCGGGTCTCTACCGCTGGCTCGCTCCCCGGGTGGGCTCTCGAGCCTCCGAAGGATTCGATGGACGGGGCACATGAACAAAAAACCGCTGGGTGTGTGGATTTGCTGGACAAAACGGGACTTCCATGTGCTTAAGACTATTTTTCATTTTCCCTGGTTGGTTTTTTTAATCGGAATTTATCACTACTGCAAATATCTTTATTCTTTCCAGGGATCTTAACCAAATGGAAGGGGAAGGAAGCCAACAAGCAGGTCGGGTCGGCCCCAATGTTTTTTCGGGGGGGGGGGGGTTGTAGAATTGGGTTTTGGGTTGCATGAGCGGGGGAGTAGGTTCTTAGTGGGCTATTTAGTAGGGATTATGGGAATGAATCTTGGTGGGGAGGTTTGGAATGGACCTCTCATTTAGTGGGGACTCTTCTTCCTGTGTCTCTTTAAGTTGCTTGTTTGAAGTGCTTGTTTGAACTGGGCCAAACACTGTCTGGGCTTTGCGCAAAACCGGCATGAAACTGCGTGACTGTTCAAAGTGGGACGGTGTCCCACTACTACAAGCACCGACCCCTCCCATGCAGACCGTGGGCCCTCCAATGCAGGACACCCGACCCCTCCCGGGCGCTCCAAAAACACATTCTTGAGGTCACCAAGCAAGTGAGGGCCCGTTCTTGCATTGCTTGGTGGCTCCCAGCCATCCGGTTCCTTAGCCTTTCAGCCTTTTAGTCTTCAGTGGCAGTTTCCGAATTTAAACCCGCTAAAAGTTAGCGCCACTTTTCGCCGGGGGTCAGAGGGCACGGGCAGCCCAGATTGGATGAACCAAATCCGCTTCGCACCACTCGGTGGGTCTCTGATCCCAGAATTGTTCGGGTCGTAGCCATCCCAATTGGTGCTAAGCGGATCTTGTCCATCCGCCGTAGGAATATGGGAATAATCCTCCCAACCATTCCCTACCATGGTTGTCGTTGGGAAACATGTTGCATTTTTGCTGATTGTGGTTTGATGGGAACCCGCTTAACTGCTGAAATTAGAATTTCTGCTCCCCTTCTAGCGTCAACCAAGCTACAAGAACGGTCATTCCAACATTCCCAAGTCCCAGCAAGAAGAATCAAGATCTACCCTCCGATCCATCCGCGGTGCAATATTTCGTGCATTTTACAGTAGTTGTTTTGTCCAGCGAACTTTGGGTACCTGCAAATAGGGGGTGATTTCCTTTCGGCTTGCCTGGATCAAGCTATTTCTGTTTGACCAGTATGGGAGTGAAGGCACCCATGGGTGGTTGCACCATGCGCTTCAATGACCAGTTGCCCTTTCCGGTTCAGAGGAAAGCCCTCAAACAGATGGTTTTAGCAAGTGTGGCCTGAATCAACCAGGGTCTTCTGAATCCTCAAAGGTGCTGCTAGCCGAAAGATAAATATTGGCAAACATCTGCTACTTGGGTGTTCGGCCAAGTTAAAAGTTGGTAGTAACCCAGGTTATAACCCACTTCTAAGCCTCTAAGTGGAGTTCACCTTGTTATTGGTGGGATAACCCAGGTGGCCAACCACTAACTTGATCGCAGATCCAAGTACCCTGAAGTGGCCAATTTTTAGAATGGACTCCCATTGGACCCCCACATCGCTGGTTTCCTGTGGGTTTCCCTTTACTTCCATTTGCTGAAATGAATATTTGTATTTTCCCTGGCTGGTTTTAAAAGGAATTTATCACTACTGGACATATGTTCTCATTTTTTCCAGGGGTCTTAACCAAATGGAAGTTTACCACCCGAGCACGGTTCCTTCAAAGAAAAACATCTAAGGACCCCATCCACAAACATGGCACCTGACGGGGGGTCACTTCAAAAGGAAATTGATCTTCCAAGTCACTCCCCGCAGTTGCCATGTTAGTTGGAGGGAGGGTGCCTTCCCATCCACAAACATGGAACTTTACGAGGGGGTCCTGGAAGTCTACTGGGTGCCCCATCTAGGTGTCGTTTTACGGTTTCTGTTTCTGGGGAGGGCTCCCCAACTAAAATAGACGACCGGAAAAAAAAAGGTTAAACAAAAAGTTGGTACCCTTATTCTCTCTGCTGGAGGACCTAACCCTATTTGTCCTTGAAAAGGCACCCCTGATTAGTTCCATGTTTGTGGACCAGAGGCGATTTCCTTGAAGGCAACCCATCAGACACCAGCCTCCGCTTTTTCCCAAGTTGCGCGTGCCGCGTTTAAGGTTCCCTGTTTGCTTTGCCTTGTTGTTCTCCGTTTTTTTTGGGCAAGACCATTTGAGCCCCATGGAACTTGGTGGCGTCAGGCAAGTAGGTTGCAATCATGGTCCACTTAGGGAACTGGGATTGGTTGGGGTCCCCTTACAACCAATGGTCATATCTACTTACTAAGTTGGTTGAACATCCAACTATACCATGGTTATACCCTACTGGGTTGGCGACGATGCAAGTAAGATGGGGGTGCTGTTGAAACATCACGCCTTGTTTGCGGGTCGCCATGCTTTATTTGGGCCCCGGCTTGAACCCATCGTAAGAGTATCTTGCGACTAAAAAAGCACGTCCTCCGTTGAGCGAGCAGAGAGAGGCCTTCGAAGCAATTGCGTGTGTGAGGTGTTATTGAAACTTCACCTTGTCGGTTCTTGCTGGTGCGATAGGCAATGACCTTCCGCGTGTTGGGAATGAACCGGAAGGGGATTCCCAAATAAAGGAAACCATCCCCCGGGGGATAATTCGTTTTTTTCTTGGTCCTTCCATTTCTCATTTTTTGTTGAGCAGGAACCAGCAAGTCTTGGGAGTGAACCTGGGGATTCCCTCAAAGGACACCAAATCGAGGATGTTTTTTTTGGGGCATTTTTTCCCGGGTCAGTCCATTTCTCACTCCCTGCCTATCGAACCAGCAAGTGAGAGCCAGCTGAGGAGAGAGGTTTTTGATCGCCTTTACCTTCTCCGTAGTGGAGGGCACGAAGGAAAGGGCCTTAGACTTTGCGGGCCATGAGATCAACTACCTCTCCATACAGGCGGGGGAGGTGAAAGGGTCGGGAGTGGGTCGCTGGGATTTGCCTGGGTAGCTCTCCATACCGGACGGAGGTGGGTTGGTGGGTGTGGTGTGGTGTGGTGTGGTGGGTTTGTTGGGGGGGTGAACAACTCTCAAGCGGTTTCTGCGGTGACCGGACTCCAAAACTCCCGGCGAGCTTCCAGGGTCCCGCGGCAGGTTTGGAACCGAACACTGCCAGGAAATCCACCAACTCTTGGAGGGGGCGGTGCTGAAAAGTCCCTTCCCTTCGGGCCCTTTGGGTTGCTGGTGGCAAAACACACCTCCCATCTTGGATTTTTGACCTGCCAGTCACTCAGTCAAGTTCCCTTGTCCTGCGCGAATTCCAGTACTTCACCTGTGGGAAGAAACATGAGGCAGAATGGAAAATTTGGTGGAGGAAGGTTGGTAAGGGATAGGTCCAACCATGCAAGGTGCGGCCACCTCTTCGATTCTTTTGAGTGGATTTTGGGTAGACCATTTCTGTACCGCTATTGGGTTGGATCTTTCTTTAGACTTTAACTTTTTGGATTCCCTTCATATTTCCTTTCAACCAGCAAAAGGTTCAACTTTTTGCTGGGGGATCTCAGCACCCAAGATTTGTTTGTGGCTCACCTGCCCTTTCTGCTGGAGACATCAACGAATACATACATGGAGTATACAAGTCATGTGCAAGGAGGCGCTCGTACCGAGGCACGTTATAATTATGGCCCTTGAACCCCAACCGAGAACCCAGCTAAAGGAACTTCTAGAGGAAGTTAGGCCAAAGCCCTTGGTGGGTATTCGCCAGGTAGGAATTCCTGCTGGTTTCTGTGAACCAGACACAACAGTCCTCCGATTGGCAGGTGGGTGTTTTGACATACGGGACTCCTTGGATGGACATGGGTGGCTGGTCTTTTATTTTGAGGGTACCCCTTGTCGTCTCGCTTCCTGAATTTCTGGACTTTACACTTCTTGGAAAGACTGTTTTAGTGGTAAACAAAAAGTTCCAGGACTTTGTTTGGACCATCCACTCACGAAGTGCGTCGTTGTGTGGCTTGAGGAAGCCCAACCCCACTGATCACACGGGAGATGGCCTCTGAGTGTGAGAGACGCGGCTCGAGACCTTTCTTTCGATAGGATGTTTGGAAACAAACCCAAGAGGCAGACCAACCCGAGCCAACCGAGAACTTTTGGGGGCCCCGTTTTTGTGGCTGTGTCGATTTTTGAAGGTTGGACGTCTCCAAAATGGCGTGCCGGTTTGGCGCACATCTGGACTTCGATAAATATGGGGGCAGTGGACCCGCCCCCCAGCCAAACAAACAATGGCGCCTTTCGGTTTTCCTTTTGGCTTCTCTTTATCCAGAAACGGGGGTTCCCTCAAAAAGACGAGCATATCTGTGCCACGACCAGGGAGTTGAATCAGAAGTCAAGCGGGGGGCTACGGGCTTGGTTTCAGGTCCGGGGTTCCTTGCTTGGGTGCTCGATTCGCCCAGTTCGATAAGTTGTTGGGAACCGTTCGGTTGCAACCTGCTGATTAAATTGTCCATTAATTCATGGAGTTAATTTGCCTGGTTATCAGTGGGTCATCCATCAAGTTCATAGATGAATTGGGAGGGGGGGTTCCCTCCAATGGTCATGCTTCCCCGAACCCAGGGAACGCTCCCGATTGATAAACTGGGGTTGACTTCTGGGATCAGCATAAAGTTGTTAGCCTTGGTTATGACCCGCTTACAAGTCCCCGCATTCAGTTCATTGACTTGAGCCACTTTCTTCGGCAATCCCATTATTTCGGTGGCCACCCACCAAAAAGTTCGGACTTGTTGTTTTTTGTTGGCCAGTCCACTCGATCCTTGAAGTGAGCCTTGGTTATGCCACCACTCTATCGCAAGTGAGCCTCAGTGGCGTTGGCCTGTCACCCTGCCAGTGTCGCTAGGTGGTGGCCAGTGTCATCTCCCTGCTCTGCGCCCTCGCCATCTCCTTCTTCATGGAGGGGCAATGGGCCCCTCGGATCGAACAGCGGAAAGCAAATCCCCCGCGCGGATGGCTGGCTTTGGCTGCGTGGGATACCTGTATGGGGGGTGCTGTTCTGAGGGTCCCCCTTGTCTGTGGGTTTTAAAGGGAAACCAAAAGGACACCTTTTTTGGGGTGGGGTCTCTTTAAAGACACTTAAAGAATACGACCTTTTTGGCCCGCAAACGGGTGACTCTTTCTCGTTTTATCCGGTGGTGAGCCCCAGGGCGCCTCGCGGATCTTCTGCTTCAGCGCGCTCTGGCGCTGGAGCTTTGTGGGCTTCTTCTTCGCCGCGAAGAGCGTGATGCTCACCTACGCCTATCAGAGCGGCCTGCACCACATGTGCCGCGGCACATCGGATCGCGCTGATCATGAGACGAAACCGCCGAACCTGTTTTCGGGGGGGGGGGGTAGGGGGGGGGTAGGGCTGCATGCGCCATGGCGCCATTACGTTGGGGGGGGGGGGGGGGTTGGAATGTGTTTTCGGTGGGGGGGTTGGGGGTTGGTAGGGCTGCACCACATGCGCCATAGCGCGAGAGATGAGATGATTTAGGGGGGGGGGCGTTTTTTCTTCTGTTCTCCCCCGGTGTTTGTCCTTTTGTGCCTTTTGGTTTATTTGTTGTGTCGTTCTGTCCATTTGTTCGTGTTTTTGTTGCTTCAAGGTTCATTTTTCAGTAGGCGTACCAGGGGTTGTAAACGCCATGGCTGCATCGAAGAAAGCAGGGAACCATTCCAGAATTTGCGCACTCCCTGAGTTTATGGACTTTCTATACTTTTTCCCAGGGGTTGGGTCCAACCAATCTTTTCAACCCTCGTTCTTTTCAGAACCGGATCCGCTCTCAACCTGGGCTTCCTGCAGTCTAGAAAGAATTTGGATTTGGATTTGAAGCCTTGGTTCTGGTCGAGGGCAACTGGGACACCACCCCCGGAGCACCTCCAAACCACACCGAAGCTGCATGGTTTTGATCATAGAGCACCGTTTTTTCTGGGGGTGTGGTCATGGACGCTTGCTTGCATTCGCTTCTCGTCTTTTTTGAAGACATATTTTCCCCTGTTGGTTTTAAAGGGAATCTGTCACTGCAAACATATGCATTTTCCCATGGGACTTCAGCAAGTGGAAGCTTGGGAGAAAGGCATGGTCGGCCGAATCCCACTTGCCCAAAGCGAATCGACCTGGTTCTATTTTTAGCCATGGCCCCGAAAGGTTACCCTTCTTTTCTGGGTCCTTGTGGCAGAGTAATACCACAGCTTGATTTGGTTGGGGTCATGGATCCCTTAGGATAAGGATTCCTTTGGAACGTAGGCATTTAGACAAACACCTGGTATGTGGGGCGATCGGAACCTGATATGGGTGTTACGCCGCATCTACCAGGGCCATCGATTTTTTTCAAAGGCTACGGACGACTAGAACTCGTTTAAATTGGCTCCCATGACTTTGGCTTCCTCTTAAAACAAGTCCAGGTGAGCCACGTCAACTGCAAACCCGCGTAGATGAAGAATAGTAAGGGACAATCCCAGCCACAAATGCATGCAGCCGTCTTTTTCAAACCTTTGGTTTGCCATTTGGATGCCAGGTTTGATTACGACTCGGGTAGACTGTTGATACACGAAATCCACGCCAGTTCTCAGTGGGACAATGTGGGACAAGCGCTCGTTTGCAAATGGGTTCTTGGGGTGGTTTCCTGTTCCTTGGTTTCAAACAAAAACAAAAAAGGGCACAATGACATGCCCAGATGGCCACGAACTAAAGACCTCAAAGCGCGATCGCTCTCATTGCGGACTTGTTACGGACCTGCCCGGTCCACGTTCATGATTGTAGGGAGGGTACCCTTGTATGCCAGCTGCATGAAGGTGCTTTTGCGCTTCATTTTGGTGTTCCCTTTCAAAGACTGTCAGTCTCCAAATGTAGCACACCCCCATGAAACACGTGCAGGCAGGCAGACAAAGGCTTGTGTGGAAGAAGCAAGTTCCAGGGAAAGAGTCCTAAAAATCAGGCAACCCGGGCGATTCGATGGTTTGGATTCCTCGACCCGGGCGGTGTCTACACCCAAGTCGGGGTTCACCGCGGGATCGTGTGCAAAGCTGATCTTTTCTTTGGCCGATGTGCTATGACTCGAATCCTCGGGATAAAGAAGTGAGGGGAGTACAAAAAAAAGGGCAGGATTCCATGCCGAAGGATCCTGATTGGAGCTTTCACCTTTTACCCGCGACCCTTTGGTGATACATGGGATTTAACGCAGAATCCCTTTCCTGCACCCATTTTTGGGGGACCCAAGACCATTTTTGGGCCCTAATCCCTTTTCTCCCAGTCCCTTTTCTGAACCAACCTTTTTGGACCCAAGAGACCTTGTCGGGGCCCGAAGCCGAAGCCGAAGCCGCGAAAGGGGTGATCAGCTTTGAGGATCCTTATGTTGGTGGGCTTCCTCTATGTCATCGTGGCGGCCGTGGGGAGCTTTTTCGTCTTCAGCCGGAAGTACGGGAAGTTGGAGTGGCTCTCGCTGTCCATGCTGAGACTCGGCCTAGGGTTCAGTCAGGGCCCTGGGAGTGATTTTTGGGTGTGTCCTTTTGGAGGGTTGTTTGTCTTAGCTGGAAGCTCCGCTTGGATGTTCAACCAACTTTGTGAGGAGGTTATAGCCATGCTTAATCACAAGGGGACCTACCCCGGTTGCCCTTATGACCACTTTTAGTAGCCTGCTTACTAAGCCGGTTGAACTTCCAAGCAGGGATCCTTGGCCGAATATACATTCTGTACACATAGCTTGGTGGTTCCCACCAGCCATCCCATAGGCTTTTAGGGTTTAGTGGGGGTTTCCATTTGAAAGTTAAGCTTTTAGCAGGGGATCTGAGGACAGCAGAGATAGGGTTTGTCTTAAAATAGGAATCGAAAGCTAGCAACAGTGGTGGTTTCCCTTTTAGTTTCCCGTCTCAGCCCCACAAAACCGTCGAAAAAGCACATACACCCACATATCTATCTGGGTGTGTCTTGCTTTTTTGAGGCTACCCGCTTTTGTTTTTTCAATGGGAAACAAACAGACAAACAACGTGTTTATGTATTCATTATTTTGTGGGAGGGGGCTAAAAGAAGTCAGCCCCACAGTCCAGCGTTGACAACCTCGACCTCCCTTTTGGGTGTGGGGGTCTCGGGACCCTAGCAAGACCTTTCAAATGGCAATGTTTTTTTGTTGAAATAAGAATATGGGGGACCCTTGGTGTACATGAATCTGCCTGTTTTCTAGCGAGCTCGCCGCCAACAGCTTAAACCCAGCTTAAGGCTAAGGAACCCAAAGCCAAGGCACCATAAGCTCACCCCAACCAAACCCGAAACTAACTCGCCAAGTGGTTTTTGATGCCGAAGAAGTCTCTGCTGCCACGGCCTCCAGGCACGTCTTGCTGTTTGTCGCCGCACATTGGTGCCCATGTTTTGTGTTCGTTGAGGCTTGCTCAGCCTTTTGTTTTTACACCTCACCCGACACCCCTATCGGGCATGCTAGTAGGGGGCTCGACAACTTGGTTGAGCTGGGGTTGTAGTGACGCCGAAAACCTTGCAGATCATCTTGATCATGTTGACCCCATATGAATCAACCCCAGTTTGTGAATCGGGTGCTTGTGTGAAATGTGGGCTTTCGGAGGGCCCTTCACCCCCTATTAGTGAGCTGGTTGGTTGATTAATCCGGGGTGAACATTAAACTTGTCAGACCATCTTGATAGAACCACAAGTCAAGGGGACAAACAACTTGCTGCTGTCAACGGAACACATAATTTGCCGCTGAGCTGCTAGGATCCTGTCCGCGCCGGCCTTCTACATCATGCGGGAGCGCTGTGACACCAACTACTGCCAGTTTTTCGATTTCACCAAGGCTCGGGGCACCGAATGCGGGTTTGGCACATCAGCAACGGGAATCGATTTGAGTGGATGGGTCTAGTATGTTACCACCGCATGGATTCATGGGCCATGATTCATGGGTTTGTAGTAAAACCCATATAAACCATCATAACCATATGTTGGAAATAACTAACCAAAAGTCCACGGGTTTTTGGACGGTGCTCAAATGATCACGGGGTAATTAACACACTTTCTGACCCTGGGAACCGTGGGGAGCAATGTGAGCCCTCAAAGAGGGTTTCTAGAGATCGCTTGGGGGTTGGCCTTTGTTTCCAAGGAAGGCTACCCCTCAGTTGGGGGTGTGGATGGATTTGAGGCCCTGCTTCTTGCGGGTTTCCCATGAAGAAATCCTCCCCGCACGCGGATCGATCCACACCACCGGGGCTTCGTTGAGCACCTTTCCCGAAGCTGGTCTCAAGTAGTCTGGCGTGAACATCCCGGTTGATTCCCGGAAATTCCGCGAAACTTGGGGGTACCAGGTGCCCTGAAGCATCAGGGCAACTGGTTGATTCAACCAAGTTTGCAGCAACCAACCGACCGACCGACCGACCGACCCAACAACCAACCAACCAACCAACCAACCAACCAACCAACCAACCAACCAACCAACCAACCAACCAACCAACCAACCAACTAACCAACTAACCAACTAGCCAACTCACCAACTCACCAACTAACCAACTCACCAACTCACCAACTAACCAACTAACCAACTAACCAACTAACCAACCAACCAGCCAAAAGGGGCCAACACTTAACCGAGCCGATTCCGATCTGTTGATAGGTAATGGCATACTGACATGACAATTGGCTCAAGAAAAACAAGCTGCTGCCCGTGCTGACTTTTAGGTAGATCCCACCTTTCAACAGGCTATCAGCCGTATCGCTGGTACCTTGTACAGTCAGCTCTCACCCGCGCCGCAATGGCGTCAAGCGGCGACGGATGCCACCCTGCCATAGCAAGGATGAACGAAGCAGTGGCCAACGAATTGATCAAGGGTGGGCATCCGGAAGGGAAACCGCCATGCAATCCGTCACAGCGCTCCCGAAGCAGTTTTCCTGAATCCGACCAAGGTGATGCGCTTGTGCCCATCACATCGGTCGTTCTTCCGGAGGATTCGATGGGAAGCGGAGGGGAACCTCTCGCCGGACATCAACCTGGGCAAGAGATGCACGCGCACATGACTAAGAATGAGACTCACCTTCATCAACATCATGTGAGCGCCCCGAATATATATCAACATAGCCAGACGGTGAATGTGGTCAACACAGGTCCGAGCACGGAGGAAATGGCTGCCTATGCTTCGGCACGCCACGACGCCATCATCAATCAGCTCCAAGCCGGCCATGTCGAGGAAAAAGGCCGACTCTATCAGGACGCGGTGAACCACATCAATGTATGCCAACAAGAGGCAATGGCGAAAGAAAGAGAGTTTAACGAGGCAAGACAGCAGTGGGTTGCTCAACGCTCAGAAGCTGAACAGAAGTATGAACGGCTCAAATTGATTTGGGAAGTCACCCACAACAAGCAGAAGGAGGATGCGGACAGGAACGCTGCTGAAATGAGGGAGATTATCATGAAGCAGTCGAGGGACATTGAGGCACTACGTCATGAACTGAAATCTCGCAGTGAGCAGAGTAGTTCTTCTAATGTCCCGATTTTCGGTCTGAGGCCAAAGGCCTCTCCTGTACAGACGTTTCCTCCCCCTGGCCTGGATCTTAGTTCTAAGGTACGTGTCAGGTCAGCTTCCACCGAACTCCGCCGTGACGGGCCAGGTGCCGCCGATGATCTTGACGGGGATGCCGGGGATTACGAACCGACATCTCCGGCACAGGACCTTAACGATGGTGGCGGATGTCCATCAGGCGCCGGGAATGGCCAAAGCGGAGGCGGTGGGGAACCACCTGCCGGTAATCCCGATGATGACGATGATCCTGACGACGACGATGACGATGGGAATGACGATGAGAAGAAGAGCAAGAAGGACAAGAAGAAGAAGAAGAAGAAGGATAAAAAGAAGAAGAGCAAAAAGGACAAGAAGAAGAAGAAGAAGAGCCACAAGAAGCGAAAGAGTGGGTCTCCTTCCGACTCTCCAAGCTCTTCATCATCCAGCTCCTCAACATCATCATCCTCATCATCATCATCGGAGAAGGCACGAGTGATCCGCAAGAAGCTCAACAAGATCTTGGGTAAGCAGGCGAGCGCAGTGGACGCAGACCATGACAAGCCCAAGGTCAAGGAGGCGGAGAGGATTGTTGTTCCATCCTTCCCACTTCCTGAGAGTTACAGGAATTGGCGCATCAAGGTGCGGGAAGCCGTATGTGCGGCATCCGACCGCCCCGATGACGCTTTCACGTGGATCAGCAGAGTGTGGGAGCCCGCCGTCACAATCGAGGAGCTCAAAGATCCCGGTGCCTTCCTCACATTGGACGCCAAGTTGCTGTCCGCCCTCACCAACATCATTCAGGGTGACCTGGCGAGACAAGTCGACACCTTCAAGGAGATAGAGGCGCAGAAGAGGAATCCAGTTCGTGGGAGACAAGTGCTTCTTATGGTGCATGAGCACCTGAGCACGAACATCAAGCACGGAGCCACCTATGCCATGGAGGATCTCCTCAACGTGAGGCTCGTGAACGATAACCTCACTTCCTTCATGCGTAGCTGGGAGGGTGTTCTTGCAGGAATGAATGCCAAGACGCCGGATGACTCCATGCTTGAGGCTCTGTTCTACAACCAGCTGAAAAAGAGCAAGCAAATGCAACACCATTTGAATGTCTATTTGAGCGCCTCGGAAGAGTCCGCCGATCACTCATACACCTACTTGATTGAATCTGTGAGGCAATACCTGTCTCGAGCAAGGCTCGAGCGCAACCGAGAACGGGTTGCTAGGCAGAACGGGGGTAGGCCAGCCGCACCCGCTGCTGAGAGCCAACGTGTGCCTAAGGGGTTTTGCATTGCATTTGTCAAGTATGGGTCGTGTCGGCGGGACAATTGCACGTACAAGCATGAACAGCCATCGGGCGATGCCAGGGGTAGGACCCCATCAAGAGACGCTAAGCCCAAGAAGGGTAAGGGTAAAGGCCGAACGAACAGCCCAAAGGGAAAGAAAGAGTGCCGTTTCTACCCTAAGGGGAGATGTGACCGTGGTGAAAACTGCCCATTTGCTCACATCGATCCGAAGCCGGCCGTTCCAGGGTCAAGGGAGCCTTCCACAGACAAGCAAAAGAAGCAGGGAAAGGACCGGAAGCATCGCAAGTCGAGCAGGGATCGTTCCAAGTCGACCTCTCGATCCACTTCCCGTGACTCCAAGGGAGAGAAGAAGAAGGGTCACAAGGGAAAGTCTTCCGGAAAGCCTTCCCCTGCTGCTGTTTGTGTGTTGGGATGCTTGTTGTCTTCCATGATGAACGCCCCTATCGCTGAGGGGAACCTCATGTCGGACTGGAAGCATGTGCCTGCCCTCCCGAGCGTGCGTTTCAGCTCGAAGGTTGAAATGAATAGGATACCAGCACATGGTGAGCAGTTTAAGATCGCGGACAAACCGCGCGTGTATCCAAAGGTCTACCCAATCGACCATCAGTTTTCCCATGATGAGGTTAGCATAGATGATGCTAGACTCGAAGCAACCATGCTCGCCTTCATTGTGAGGCGTGAATTGGAAGGCCATCCGACTAGGTGCAACTATGAATGTGACAGTGAGATCGGATGCTGGCAATGCGCCCCGAGAGACATGGGCGCAAAGCCCGCCTTGGCGAGCAAGAGATTCTCTCCGAACTGTTCATGGATTATTGACACTGGGAGCGGGACTGATCTTTTTACACGTGCAAATTGCCCCGAATATGCAATTTATAATTCAAATGATCCCGTGATGTTGATGACTGCCAATGGACCAAGTGATTCGTCAAAGCAGGCCAACATGGCCGCAGGTGACCTCGGGAACACGGATCCATATCTGTTGCCACAAACACCCTCTGTTCTCTCCGTAGGTTTGAAGTGCATGAATCAGGGTTATGACTTCATATGGCATGCAAAAGAGAAGCCATTCTTTGTCAAGCCTGATGGGACGAGAATTTATCTCAAAGTTCGAGATTATGTCCCGTACTACGACGTGTGGGATGGCGACTCAGCAATGGCGTGTCCCGCCAAAGGCACACCGCCAAGCCGACCGGAAGGTCAGGTCGCCAGAAGCAATGCACCTAGTGAATCATCACACTCCTCCTCCGTGCAAACCGAAGATGCCGCGGAAGAAGAGTATACGCCTAGCATTGCCCCTCTAGAAGATCCTGAGGTGCATGCTAGAGTTGTCGCCGAGCTTCTGGCGAATGACCCCGTTGAAGTCATTCCAGATGAACCTGCTGAGCCGATGGAGAGTAAAGATTTGGCAGGGGAAGATGTTGTTGGCAACCCCGATAAGAAAAGTCCTAGGTCACTTGCAGAAAGCGCCCTTAGGCAGGAAGCAGCATCACGAAAGCACCTGATGACACACCAGCCAAAGAATCCATTCTGCGAAGTGTGCAAATGCGCGAAGATGACCAAGTCTCCCTCTCGCTCGCGGGGGGGATCCAGACAGGTTGATGCTCGAAAATTTGCTGAGCACATCACAGCCGATTTCATAATCACTGCGGATGAACAGGAGCTGGGCATAGACGATGAATACTCTGCCCTTGTCATAAGTGACGTTGCCACCGGTTTCAAATATGCATACCCTTTTGCTAAAAGAAACACGGAAGCAACTGTGAAGGCGTTTCAGCACTTCACTTCCTCGTCGGACGAGGTTGGCACGTTTTATAGTGATAATGCCCCTGAATTAATTGCTGCAGCTGAACAGATGGGCTGGAGACATGTCCTCAGTCAAGAGTACATTCACAAAACCAACGCGGTGGCTGAACGGAGCATCAGAACCGTGCTCGAGGGAACTCGAGTCGCACTTGCACAGGCCGGGTTGAATCATTCATACTGGCCGCACGCCGCAAGGC